GCTGTGGAGGAGGGAGGGGTTTGCCCTGTGGAGGAGGGAGTGGTTTGCGCTGTGGAGGGAGGTGCAGCCGTGGAGACGCCCGTGATGGAGGGGTTGTTCCCTTCGAGCGTGGTGACGCGGTTGGATATGGACGACACGGTGGCCTTTATGTCGTTGAGAGAGGCGGTGACGGAGGTTTGGAGGGTGTCGAGTGTGTGGAGTATGGCGGAGAGGTCGAGGGTGGCGGTGTTTGCTGGTGGTTGTTCGCTTGCGAGGTTGCAGGCGATGCTATTGACCGAGTCGGTTCGGATGTCAGACATGTTCATGGAGGATGCGGTCACGGAGGACGTGGCGGGAACGGATGTGGAGGATGCAGCAGCAGTGGTGGCGGCGGCAGCGGCGCGTTGGGAGTTCTTGGTGCTGCGTGGTGGCATGTGGAGATTCGGGGGAGGGGGAAGGGGGGGGGGGGGTTCTAATTTATTTTCTCTATACTACTAAAAGATACAAAGGGCCCGACGACACGCTCGGTCGCGGGCCCAACGGAAACCGTAGGAGGGAGGCAACAGGGTAGTGGAACCGGTGCGGGGATGAGGGCGAGGCGGGAACTGGGCAGCGGGCAGTGGAACCGAAGGCGAAACGACGCGGGGCCTGCACACAGGCGAGGCGCGTAGCGGGCAGTGGGCAGTAGAACCGGAGGGGAAACGTCGTGGGGCCTGCTCGCATGGCGTGGAAAAAGATGTGCGGGGGAAAGTGCCAGCAGGGGGCTCGGGAGGTTGACGTCGCGGGGCCTGCGTGCACGGTGTGGAAAAAGACGCGCGGGGGAAAGTGCCAGCAGGGGGCTCGGGAGGCTGACGTCGCGGGGCCTGCGCGCACGGAGTGGAAAAAGACGCGCGGGGGGAAGTGCCAGTAGGGGGGGGCGGGAGGCCGATGCGCCCGACCTAGGACACACACACACACACACACACACGCACATGTGAGGGACGGTGCGGATGTGTATGCGGGTGCCGTTTGGAGAGTAGGAGGAGGAGGTTGTGCAAGTGGGAGGAGGAGGTCAGAATAGGGGAAGGAGGAGGTTGCAAGGGGTAGGAGGGCATCGTGTAAGTGGAGGAGGAGGTCGGAAGAGAGTTTGGAGGAGGTCACATCAGGGAGAGGAGGAGGTCGGAAGAGGACGTGCGAGGGGGAACCATCGTCGTGAGCTCTTTCACACACACACACACATGGGAGGCATGGTGTGAATATGGGGGGCACGAGTTTTTTGCGTGCTTCTATTCGGGTGCCATTTGGAGAGTGGGAGGAGGTCGCGTGAGGGGGAGGAGGAGGTTGTGCAAGTGGGAGGAGGAGATCGAAAGAGGGGAAGGAGGAGGTTGTGACGGGGAGGAGGACATTGTGCAAGTGGAGGAGGTCGGAAGAGAGTTTGGAGGAGGCCGCATGACGCAGAGGAGGAGGTTGGGAAGAGGACGTGCGAGGGGGACCGACTGCCGTGATCTCTCTCTCTCTCTCTCTCACACACACACACACACACACAGGAGGAGGTCGGAAGAGGGGAAGGAGGAGGTTGCGAGGGTGAGGAGGAGGAGGTTGGAAGAGAGTCTGGAGGAGGTCGCATGACGGAGAGGACGAGTTTGGAAGAGGACGTCAGAGGGGGAGGAGGGGGCCGTGCAAGGCGGAGTTCGTGCGAGGGGGAAGGGGGATGAGGACGCATGAGGGGGAGGAGGCAGTCGTGCAAGGAGGCGGCGGTCGTGCAAGGGGGAGGAGGAGGTCGGAAGAGGGGGAGGAGGTCGCATGAGGGAAAGGAGGTCGCGGGAGAGGGGGGAGGGACGCGAGGGGTGGAGAAGGTGGGAAGACTGGGAAGAGGAGGTCGCGCAAGGGGGAGGAGGACGTCCGAAGACGATGTGCGAGGGGGCGAGGGGGGGAAGGAGCAGGTCGTGCAAGAATGAGCAGGAGGTCGCAAGAGGGGGAGGAGGAGGTCGCAAAAGGGAGAGGAGGAGGTCAGGAGAGCGGGAGGAGTAGGACTGTGTGATTACGACTGCCTTTTTTTTTTTCCTCCTGCAACTTCACCGCACCGTAGCTGCGGCAGGTCCACTTGTATTAATAAAAAAGATAATTGCAAAGGTTTTCGAAAGAAGAAAAGAAAAAGAAATTCGAATTTACAAAATGTCGAAAAAGAATTATATAAATTTCAAGGATTTTTTTTTGAAAAAAGATAAAAGGAATTTGGGGATTTATGTGGAGGCAGGGTGTGGGCATTAATTTAATTCGGCAAAAATGACCGCAATAAATTAATTCGAGAAAATTAAAATTTAAGATGAAGATTTTACAAAAAAAAGGAATGAAATTAATTGAATTTCGGAATTCAGGATTTTTAAAATAATTAATTTGAAAAAAAAAAATTGAAAATGTAAAATGGAAATGACTGTTGGAAAATATTTAAATGAATTAAGTATTTATTTGAATTTAAAATTTATTTCATGGATTAAAACTTAAAAAGGAAATTTAAATTGTTAATATTTTATGAATGGGTTTAATATCAATGTAATTTAAGGGATTTTAATAAGTTTGAAACGCATTTAAAGTGATTGTAATTAATTTCAACGAATTTTATTAAATGAATTAAATACTAAAACTGATTCATTGAAGTTTACTTATTTTAGTGTACATTAACAAATTTAGATTGGATTTTAAGTTAAGTAAAGTAATTGTCGATAAATTTGAAAATGAAATTTGAAAAAAAAGATGTCAAAAAATAAAATAAATAAAAAAAGATGTCAAAAAAAAAAAAAAAAAAAAAAGGAGATTAATTGAATTAGTGTTTGATAATAAGGTGAAGATCCGAAATTCTAATCTAATTTGAAATACGAAACGTTAATTATTTACTTTCAAAAAAGAAAAATGTAAATTTTTAAAAATAAAGAAGTTCAATTAATGTTAATGTTTAAAATGGGAGAATGAAGTATTATAAACTTTTGTCCATCAATAGGGGTATCGTACGGAGGGGGGGGAAGGGCGAGCGAAAGCGAGGTTGGGCAGTGGGGGCGGGGGTGAGATCGGCCGCGTGGGGGGAGAAGAGGTGCACGCGGGGGGAGTATCGGGACCGGGGGTGGGGGTGATCAAGATCGGGTAGACAGCGGGGAGGGGATGACGAGAAGAAGGGGAGCGAAGGGGGGAATGACGAGGAGAAGGGGAGCGACGGCGGGGGGGATGGGCTGTCTCTTATACACATCTAGATGTGTATAAGAGACAGGGGGAATAGTGCGTGGGTGGGGAGAAGGATGGGAGCGCGCGGGGGGAGATTGAGATTGGGGGGGAATCGTAGTCGACGGGGGGATCGCGACAGCGGGAGAAGAACGGCGCGCTGTCGGTGCGAGTACCCTCACAAGGGTATCCTCGCTGGCGCTCTTGCCAGTGACAGAAAACAGGTTTGGTTTAAAGTTTTAAGTATTTCGCGCGAGGCGAGCCTATGTTTGTAGTTTACGTTGTCTGGATGGTTGACTAGAGCAAAGAGTGTGTGGGTGCGCAGATTTGAGGCGCGCGTGATTTTTTTTATTTATTGATGATTGAAAAATCGGCGTGATCACCAGCCGGATTTTTATTTCTAATTGAGCTGGGATTAAACTGATGTTGTCTCCTGATTGGTGTGTTTATTTGTGACCTGTGTGTACGTGCGAAGGACGACATCGACAACCATGTGATTTTTTAGATCGTTTTGGTAGATATGCGTGTCGCACAGTATTGGTTTATTTTAGGTGTCCGTAAGAGTAAGACCAAGACTTGGACCCAGCACTAGCGGTTACGGCGCTGGGTTTTCGTTGAAGAGATTCAGGGATCGAGATTAAGCAGCGACGACGTAGGGATATCAGAGTTGTGCGAAGGGACCAGGGGGTTGCAGGCTCGGCGGGGCTGTCCCCTTTGGTTTTGCCATTGGCGTAGTCAGGGCGGTATTAGTGGTTCTTTTTCCCTCGTCGTCATATTCTGACGATTAAAAATTCTAAACATATTATATATTTTTTAGTTGTGTTATTTTTATCTTTAGGCTCCGACGTTTCTTGATTCAGGCGTGATGCCAGATTTGAATGGCCGTCACGACAGTCGAGGACCTTGAGTGCGCAGCTCGTTCGGCGGATCCGCGCATTCGGGATGCCGGCGAAAGTCTCCTATCACACCGTTGTTGAACAGCCACGGCGTGGTGTTGAGTTTATAATGACACTTAAGGCAAAAAGGGCCGGCAATGCTGAGTGTATATGACCTACGTTCGGATCGGGGAGGTCCGCACGCGAGTGTGATGGGGTCCGTGGTCATAGCTCCCCTAGCTTCCTATTCGGAGAGAGTTGATAGTCTAGAGTGGAAACGGAGTAGCAGAACATTTTGAGCGGGTTTGTGGGGCTGCAGCCAAAGGCTGGCAGGGGTCGCTGCAAGCACACGGCCCGCTACCCGCCGATTGTTGTTAAGTGTGGGCATGTCTGCTGGGACCCGATAGACAGGGATTGTACCCAGGCGCAGTGGGGCGAACTGGCCAAGGGGCACCAAGGGAAAACCACAATCGTGCAACAGTAGGTGGCCGGCCGTGAAGATCTGGGCGTGGGCATTCCTGTTGGAAGCACGGAAGGGGTGGTAGACTGTGTTGGAGGCAAAACAGCTAGAAGAAAGAGAATCCGGGGAGCGCTGTAGGGAGGCCGACAGTGGCATTGCTGCACGAACTTTCTGTCGGACTTGGGTATAGAATCGAGATAGCCGACCAGTCCGCTTAGCAGTTTGGATCCCTTCGAAGTCTTCCCACGGTGTTGAGCCCGAGCGACCGAAACGGGGCAGAGCGCGACAAACAGTGGGGAGGGGGACTGAATTTGGGCGCGATAACATGCCGGATGCATTCGGGGGACAGACGATGAGGGAGCGATGAAGTGAAGCGAAAACGAACTATGGAGAGAACGAGATAGCGCAATAGTGATATTGAAGTAGGCAGGTGAGTGAGGAACAGGCCATGAAGGAGTGCGAGGCGGGCAAATGGAGGAAAGAACCCGACGCGTTTTCCCGCCAGGTACATCCCAAAAACTGAGATGGTGGAAATCGGGTTGAGTGCAGTCTAAAAACCATGACTCTCTCGATCCTTAGTGGAACCCGGCGCGGTTTCCCGCCAGGTACATCCCAAAAACTGAGATGGTGGAAATCGGGTTGAGTGCAGTCTAAAAACCATGACTCTCTCGATCCTTAGTGGAACCCGGCGCGGTTTCCCGCCAGGTACATCCCAAAAACTGAGATGGTGGAAATCGGGTTGAGTGCAGTCTAAAAACCATGACTCTCTCAATCCTTAGTGGAATCGAGAGGTGAAAGCAGCAATCCCGGGGCCAATGGTAACATTAGTTTTTGCACTAGATTAGTAGATAAAGAGATAAAAGAGAAAGTGGGTGCGGAGTTATGGCGGAAGAGGATTGGAAGAAGA